TTCATCGTTTATGTTCAAATTATAGTTGGTTAGAACTTGGAACCATGCTTTTTTTTTTTTTAGTTTCTAAACATTTTCTTCATTTGCCCTTTATCTAATAGTCTTATCAAGATATTATTGCTAAAGTTCATCACTTATAAAAACATGTTACCGAACTTATTGATATATTAATGAAATATCCAAAAATGTATGCAAATCCATTAAAGTTAGTTCGAATATGTTATGTTAGTTTGGCTTGGTTAAAAAATAAATCATATGATATTGAATGAGAGAAACTCATTGTTTTGTGTTTATGTATATATTTCTTGTGAATAATGATTCATTAGTTTACCAAGTACTCGTCGAAAAAAAAAAAAGTTACCAAGTACTAACCAATTCAAAAATAGTTCATAGTATGAATCATGACATAATGAACCATTTTTTTGAAAAAAATGTTGGTTCATTGTTTTTGTGTAAGTAGGCAGCTATATGCCGGTTATACTATTTTCGCAGCATTCTCTTGTTTTATTAGGATTGGAACTTGAAAACATATATAACACATATTTTTAATAGTTTTCTCATATATCAAAACATATTTTTAAAACCACTAATTTTAGTTTATTTAGTATGTGACTCAAAATTGTCCACTAAGCAATCTTATATCTACAAAGATATAAGATAATTTGTTATATCTACAAAGATAATTTATGTAATTTAAAATTCTTTCACCATTAAGCATATTTGTGCAAGATAATGTCTGTATTGGTATTTCTAATCATTTTTTTCCAAAACAAAAATCTAAAATGATTTAATTGTTATAGTATAATACAACCAAATAAGAATTCAGACAAGATAACACAAAAACCCAGAAAAACTAAACCGCTCGCTACCATATAGCCTCCTACCCTCTCCTGGACCTAACTTTATTATTGGGTCCTTTTTAATGTCTTCTCTAATTATTGGGCTTTCCAAACAATGTTGATATGTATTTTGTGTTGGGGTCCATGTGGAATTTCAAAATTCGAAAATTCAAACAGGCTACAAAAAGTTCAAATTAAAGACATACAAATCTTATCTTCATTATTTTTAGATTTGACCGTTTAGAAAACAAGAACCAGACCGTACCGAACCAAATCCAGACGATTCCGTAGCGGCGTTAAGCTATCTATAAACCGACCGAACCACACAGGCACAAAAATCAAACCTTCTAGAAACCAAAGAGAGAGACATTTATTCTCTAATTCATTTTCCTATTTTGCCCCTACCGATATTTTTCTTCTTCGTCAGTCGTCTCTCTCAGCTCTTGAAGTCTTGGTCTGTTGGCGAATTTTCAAGCAGCTTTCTAATTTTAAACTGAAATTTCATCTTTGGAACTTTGAATTCTCTCATCTGAAACTGAAGGAGAAGGAAGATGACGACTATGGAGAGTTTGATTGGGTTAGTTAATAGGATACAGAGAGCATGTACCGTACTCGGTGACTATGGTGGTGGAACTGGAAGTAACGCTTTCAATTCTCTCTGGGAAGCTCTTCCAACCGTCGCCGTCGTCGGTGGTCAGGTGATTTCTCCGGTTGAAATATCTTTGACTTCTTCCTAGGTTTTCCTCTGTTGACTCTTCAACTTTCTTTTTTTTTGGGTTTATGCAGAGTTCTGGGAAATCTTCAGTTCTTGAGAGCATAGTTGGGAGAGATTTTCTTCCTAGAGGATCTGGTTTGTGAATTTTTAAACCTTTTTTCCATTTTCTCTTATGTGTTTGTGTATAAAGCAAGGAGCTTTGATTTTTAGGAAGAAGTATTGTTTGTGCAGGTATCGTTACGAGACGGCCTTTAGTGTTGCAGCTTCATAAGACGGACGATGGAACAGAGGAGTATGCAGAGTTCCTTCACCTTCCCAAGAGGCAATTCACAGATTTTGGTATGTACCTTAACATTTGTGTTTATATATGTTATGTATGTTTGTTCTGCTTCTTTCCTGTTTTCTTGGTTACTTATGGTTCTGGCTAGAGGCTGTAGTGAAAGTGTTCTTTGAAATTTTACTTGAAATTTTTGATGTTGCAGCTTTGGTTCGCAAGGAGATTCAGGATGAGACTGATAGAATCACAGGGAAGAACAAACAGATATCTCCAGTTCCTATTCACCTCAGTATCTACTCTCCAAATGGTATGATATAATCTCAGTCTGTCTCCTGTAACATTCTTGTTTGTGGATTTAACATTGACGTTTGCTCCTTTTTGTGGAAACAGTTGTGAATTTGACCCTCATTGATTTGCCCGGTTTAACTAAAGTGGCTGTTGGTATGTTTTTTTTATACCTCTTCTTTGGGTTTCCATTTCTTTATTATTTGATGACTTTATTATGTAACTTATTGATACTGCCTCTGATTTCCAGAGGGACAGCCGGAAACCATTGCTGAGGATATTGAATCAATGGTTCGCACATATGTTGATAAGGTGAGAATTGCTAGATCTTTCATTTTTAAACTGATGTTGAGCGTGTCTAATTTTTCCTTGTTTTAACTTTGAAACATTTCACAAATGCAAAAACGTTTTACGACTTTTAAACTATATGCTCAAGTTCTAGTTGCAGATGGTTAAATTTTCTTTCTAGTTCCAATAGGTTAATTCTGTCTGTTTGCAGCCCAATTGTATCATATTGGCTATATCTCCTGCCAACCAAGACATTGCCACATCGGATGCAATTAAGCTCGCAAAAGATGTTGATCCAACAGGTTTGTTTACTATTTTGTTGCCTATGCTCGATATATATGATAGGGAGTACTGTATTTTGATGATGAAATAAGTTTTTGATCCTCTCAGGTGAGAGGACATTTGGTGTTCTTACCAAGTTAGACTTGATGGACAAAGGAACTAATGCATTAGAAGTAAGCACCTCTTCATCTCTTTTGGTTCATGTGTCATGCTCCACTTTAATGATTATACATGACTGGTACTGTGTTCCAGTTCGTACTTTTATTTTGTCTTTAGAAATTCTGATCTAACATTCAGAACTGCTTGCCTTAATAAGGTTCTTGAAGGAAGATCTTACAGGCTGCAACATCCTTGGGTTGGGATAGTGAACCGTTCACAAGCAGATATTAATAAGAATGTCGATATGATGCTTGCTAGACGCAAGGAACGAGAATATTTTGACACCAGTTCTGACTATGGTCACTTAGCCAGCAAAATGGGTTCAGAATACCTGGCAAAGCTGCTCTCTAAGGTGTGCAATCAAAGGCTGAAATGCTTGAGACTTTATCGTATTGTTTATTTCATTGTTGTTCAATTGCTCTATGGTCTTTGTTTTTTAATGCAGCACTTGGAGTCTGTTATCAGGACCCGTATTCCAAGTATATTATCCTTAATAAACAAAAGCATTGAAGAACTTGAAAGAGAGTTAGACCGAATGGGTCGGCCTGTCGCAGTTGATGCTGGGGTGAGAGAGTACATCTGTGTGAAACTATTTCTCTTCCTAAAGTTTTACGTTTTTTGATATGTGCTAAATCTGTTGGTCTCATTCTCAGGCTCAACTATACACTATATTGGAGATGTGCCGTGCATTCGATAAGATATTCAAGGAACATCTGGATGGCGGGTAAACATTGTTACTAATCTTCCTGTGGAAATCTTTTGGCTTAGGTTGATTATTTTTGTTAACCTCTTAATTACATTGTAGGCGTCCCGGTGGTGACCGTATCTATGGAGTCTTTGACAACCAACTTCCAGCTGCACTTAAAAAGCTTCCTTTTGATCGCCATCTTTCTCTACAAAGCGTGAAGAAAATCGTGTCCGAGGCAGATGGCTATCAACCTCACTTGATTGCACCAGAACAGGGTTATCGCCGTCTAATCGAAGGGGCACTGGGTTACTTTAGAGGTCCAGCCGAAGCTTCTGTGGATGCTGTAAGTTATTCTACAGTGTCTCCTCACTTTCCTATTATATATACAAGACCGTAATGAGTTTGGCGCAAATGCAACAGGTTCACTATGTCTTGAAAGAGCTTGTGAGGAAGTCAATATCAGAAACTGAGGTGAGATCTTTTTCAACCTATTAATGTCCTCAAGACTGGTAAAATGAAATATTAGGGTTTGAATGTATCTCCCTTCCCTGGTGGCACAAATGCAGGAGCTAAAGCGTTTCCCTTCGCTGCAAGTCGAGCTCGCTGCAGCAGCCAACAGCTCCTTGGAGAAATTCAGGGAAGAAAGCAAGAAGTCGGTAATTCGACTTGTTGACATGGAATCTGCGTATCTAACAGCTGAGTTCTTCCGGAAACTTCCTCAAGAAATGGAAAGACCAGTACTAACCAACAACAAAAACCAAACTGCTTCGCCTTCCCCTGCAACATTAGACCAGTATGGAGACGGACATTTCAGAAGGATAGCATCAAATGTATCCGCGTATGTCAACATGGTTTCGGACACACTTCGTAATACCATCCCGAAGGCTTGTGTATATTGTCAAGTTAGACAAGCCAAGCTCGCGTTGCTCAATTACTTCTACTCACAGATCAGCAAGAGAGAGGTAAACTTAAACTGTCTGAAATCTTAATTGGATTCTGTGCTCTGCGTTTCAAATCTTATATTTGGTCGGAATTTTGACAGGGGAAACAGTTGGGACAGTTACTAGATGAAGATCCGGCATTGATGGATAGGAGACTAGAGTGCGCGAAGAGGCTGGAGTTATATAAGAAGGCAAGAGATGAGATTGATGCTGTTGCTTGGGTACGATGATAAACCCAAAGTGTGTGTTTCTGGTGATGGTTGTTTTTAATGAGTAGAGAGAACTAAAATTCGTGTGTTGAGTAAGTTCGTTGGCTATGTCTTTGTATATGAATATGATCATCAGACCCTGTTGAGAGAGAGACTCGAGACGTTGTTTTGTACTAATAAACTTATCATTTCTATTTAAAAACGCCATGGCGTTTTACTTCATGAATAGTAGACTGCGCGCCGTTTCATGGGACCCGTCTGTAACTAACTACTGGACTGGAAGGAATACCGAAAACTCCGTGTCGTCCCACTTTGGAGGACTGCTCGCCGTTTAAACATACACGTTGCCACCGTAAGCAGACTACGCGCCGTTCTTTGTTTGGTATCACTATCAATCTTCACCTGAATCTTGTTCGCCTGGACTTGTGCGTGATTCATCGTCACATCTCCTTGATCATGGAAACTCCTGTTGATGCTCTGATTAAGGTATTGTTTTCACCTGTGTACCTAATTTCATCGTTACTGCAACTAATAAAAGTCTTGGTCTTTTTTTCCTAAATTCAAGGATATTGTTTATTTGGTTACAGGACGAACATGAAAGCCCTAGGTGGAAGAAGTCAACGGTGGTTTTTGTGTTGGGTAATAGTAATTCTACTCTGTGTAATCATCGTGCTTTGCTCTTGAAAGTTGGATTTTGTGGTGTTGAATGAATGGTTGATTGATTCTAGGAGGTCCTGGAAGTGGCAAAGGTACTCAGTGTGCTAATCTTGTGAAGCACTTTAGCTATACCCATTTTAGTGCTGGTGATCTTCTCAGAGCAGAAATTAAGTCTGGTTCTCAATTTGGGTATGTTCTGCTTCACTCAATCTCATGTCTCTCTAACTAATTGCTTTGTGTGAAGTGAATCTTTTGTATAACTAATTGCAACAGTTGGTGAAGTTTCCAGTTTCTTTTTCTGTGGATTTTTTCAGAGCCATGATCCAAAGTACGATTGTTGAGGGGAGAATTGTGCCTTCTGAGATCACAGTGAAACTTTTGTGTAAAGCTATGGAGGAAAGTGGTAATGATAAGTTCCTTATTGATGGTTTTCCTCGCAATGAAGAAAATCGGATTGTATTCGAAAATGTTGTAAGGGTCATGTTCATGTTCATTCTCTTGATCTCATTGTTAATTGACTTCTCGTTGATTCCTATTAGAGTCTAATCAAGTCCTACTTGTCTTGTTAGGCCTTGGTTTAATACTTTCTGGATCTTGACAGGCTAAAATCGAGCCTGCTTTTGTTCTCTTCTTTGATTGTCCAGAAGAAGAACTAGAAAGACGCATTATGAGCAGGAACCAGGTTGGTATTTTACTTGAAAAAATCATGTCTAGTTCGGGTCCGATACCTCTTTTACTAGTTGTTTCTTGGTTATGAAGGGAAGAGAAGACGATAATATAGAGACGATAAATAAGCGATTTAAAGTGTTTGTAGAATCTACCCTCCCTATTATTAGCTACTATGAATCTAAAGGGAAACTTCGAAAGGTCAGTTTGGTTCTCCAGTTCTCTTCCATGATCATTACTACTATCATATGTTGTTCCTGATTCTTGTTTCTGATTTCTCCAGATCAATGCTGCAAAACCCAGCGAAGAGGTTTTCGAGGCAGTCAAAGTTCTATTTGCATCTTAAACTTGACAAGGTGTAGCTCGTGATCATCCAAACATACAGTTTTCTGTCTAGTCCTTGTAGTGCATTATTGTTTGGTCTTTGTCTTTGTAGCATGACTTGGAATCACCAAACAGAACAAAACAGAGACTCCAAAGTCCATGTGCCTTGTCGTATACGAAACTAAGTTTACAGATTCATGCTTGTTTCAGTGTTTGTATATGTAATTATCTCTACATTTTACATGTTCTCATTATACGAGAAGCCAAACTTTCGTCGTAATAACCATATTTTAGCTAAGAAGCTTGTTTAGCTTGACTTATTAATCAAGTCCACGAAGTTATCTCATCAATTTGTTCACAAAGACTTGTCGTTATATGATCACGCGTCTACTTCAGAACCAGTTTAGAGTTCAACGTATAACAACAACAAACTTGCTATCACCATATGAAATCATGACCGTCCATCTCTTCCAGCTTACAAAAAGATATATATACATACTTAATTCATAGGTTTTTTTACAATTTACACACACCACACACGAGAAGACTCAAGAGTATCTCGTTCGTTCTTATATCATCAGTATATCACTTGTTAATACTTTTTTGTTGGAGGATGTTGACTCAATCTGTGTTTAGATTTTGCGAATATATCACCGTTTCTGTATTGGTTACCTCCGTCGCGGTCTTCTCTGTCCGACTCTTGTTAAGATTCGCCACTTTTATCGTCACACGTCCATGGCGTCGCCACCGCACATTCACGTTCCGCCGGTGGATAACGGCGGCGAATGACCATTCGTCTCCGCCTTTCTGCGCCGTGTGTTTACAAGAGGCAGAGGAAGGAGAGAAGATGAAGCGATTGACGATTTGCCGCCACTGTTTCCACGCGGATTGCATAGATACATGGCTCAGTGAAATGTCTAAGTGTCCGTTGTGTAGAGCTCAGATTCCTCCGTTACCGCCGGCGAGTCCTCTGCTTTTTCTGTTTTTTCCGTCCGGTGTGATTGATTTAATTAGCAACAAAGAATCTCGACGCGTGGCTCTCTAATTTCGAATTCTCTATGTTTCTTAATTCTCTGACGTGTCAAAATTTATTAGGTGCTTGTTTACTTTAATATTTAGCTTAACTCTTCCTATACGACAAATAGTTTAACATAAAAAGGTTAAAACTTGATATAAATCAAGAAGGTTAGTATGTGTCTATATATCCATGTCCCTTTACGTAAGCTTTTCATTCTTTGATAATGTTTTTTATTGGTAGTTTATTTTGTAATGTTTCGCCTTTTCTATTACGTAAACTTTAATTTTAAAATGTAAATCTGTACATCTTTTTTTCTTTACCTTAGTAAAGTGACCATTATCTCTATTCACTCAAAACTGTATCACAAAGTTAATGGGCCTTCATGTGATATCTGTTTTCCAAGTTTCACGTATACAAGTCAGGCCCAAGCATATACGTAACAATCAGTGTGATATGTTTTTTTTTTTTTGGGTATCAATGTGATATGTTTATTTGCTATCCAATATCTACCACATTCATTGCAGAGACTACTAATTATATGCATTTAAGATTACAGTGTATTGAGATGTACTAGAATCTTAAATTCATATGTTTGGTAATCTGTGAAATGAATGTGGACAATGTATTTAAAGTATCATGGAATTGTTCTTATGGATTGCTATATATCACGGTCCACGGACTTCAGCATTTGAATTGAGGTGGGTCTTTTTCTAATGTGTTTTTTGTATTTTTCCAAAGTTAAGAAAAAGGCAAGTTGATGACGCAGCTAAACATATGAAGAAAAAGGACCGAAACAGCCAAGAAACTCACGTGGAGATCACTAACATATGTGTCCATACCTACATTTTGACAAGACATAATTCATACATATTTTTATAATATTTTGTTTGTCAATTTAACACATATATTAGATATATATGTTTGACAAATAAAAAGAGAGACTAATACATTTTAAGATGACCAAATTTTGTGAACCAGCCTGGTTTTAGTCCTCTTTTTGAGTTATTTATAGTCTAGTTTTTTTTCGAACTTGACTTATAAAGCTCCGTAGAAACATGTATCTAGCTATTTGAGCATGACATATGTTAAAGTGGTTTATGATATATAGTTTGCCATTGTGTCATTATTTAGATTCAAATTTGGTAAAAAAAAGACATTATCTGGATAATAATTCTGATTAAGATTAAAGACGCTTTCTTTGTTGGTAATGGGGGATTATTAAGGTCAGCACTCAGCAGCATCTCGACTCTATTATGGGCCAAAAAACATCGACTTATATAATCCCATACCCTTTTCTACTCTGTTTCTCGCTATTATATCTAAGAGGACAAAAACATAAACAAAAAAAAGGACATCGACTTAAATAATCACATACCGTTTTGTTTTTTATCGACCTTAATTTTCAACGTGCTTCTTCAGTATGATGTTGTGGCACACGTATCTGCGTATATTCTTCAACAGTATAAGTTATACTTTTAACAATTAGTAGACAGAAAAAAAAAAAAAAAAAAACAATTAGTAGACTCCACGCTTTCCACGTACGTGCAACAACAACTAGTGGGAGTGACGGTGGGACTCGAGTATTGGAATACCACTTTGATTAAACCTAAAAATAATACAGTTTTTTTCTTTTTCTTTTTGCCAGCATTGGAAATAGCAATTTAAAAAAATATATAGCAATTTAAGGAAAAATTATGGCAAGTAGAATTATACTAACAAAAAATCACTTAAAAAGGAGAACTATTATCACGTAATAAGTAGAAGAAGAAAAAAATTACAATAGGTTTTTGTCTTTCTGTCATCTAGTTTGGTGGTTGTGTACCATTATTACTTTCAACTTTCTCAACGGAGTTCGAACCCTAATTGGGGTTTTTGTTTACTTTGATGATGATTTGAGACCATACGGCCAGATCAACTCTATATCATATACTATTTATTGGTTTCTACTGAAAGAAGGAACACAAAATCGAAAGTTTGTTGTTTTTATTATCTTTTTGCTGTGTTAATGAGATTACAAGCATGAGTCTTTATTTATACAACTTTCGGATTTAACCTAGAGTATCCTTGACTCTCTTAGCTGTCTGTTGACTGTCACGTGGCGTCACTCTCGTCACACGATCCAAGAACCTCAAAACGATTCCTCGTCGTTACGTCCGTACCACCTGAGGATAAGGATGGCTCGACGCCAACTCTGTTTTTGTCTCTTGTTGCAGGTTGCCGTTGAGGAGGTTTCTCTGCTTTTGCATTGTGTTGGACTTGGGCCTGTTTCGGATTGGGCCTGCTATCAGTCTTTGGGCCTGTGTCATTGATACTCCCCCTCAAACTTGGAGGAGGTGGGAAATCGACGCCAAGTTTGAATCGCAGAGATTCGAAAGGAGCAGTGGCTAGAGACTTTGTGAAGATATCGGCGAGCTGCAAGTGACCCGGTATATGATTCACAATGAGTTCACCAAAAGCAACCTGCTCACGCACATAGTGATAATGTGTGGCGAAGTGTTTGGTGCGAGGATGAAACGCAGGATTTGCCGTGAGATAGACAGCCGAGAGGTTGTCACAGAAGAGTTCCGGTTTCTGAAGTTGCGGAACACCCAAATTTCGAAGCAAATTAACGAGCCAAGTGATTTCAGAAGCTGTCTCCGACATTGCTCTGTATTCAGCTTCAGTGGAGCTTTTGGCGACTGTCGGTTGCTTTCTTGAGCACCAAGAGATTAAATTGTTGCCAAGGAAGGTACAGAAACCCATAGTTGAGCGGCGTGTACCCAGACAACCTGCGTGATCGCTATCACTATAAGCCCGTAGTTTGCAATCCGTTGCTTTGTTGAATGCAATTCCCATTGTTGTTGTGCCTTTTATGTAGCGAAGGATTCGCTTGAGAAGATGAAAGTCTGACACGGTTGGTGCGTGCATTTTCTGACAGACATAATTAACTGAGAACTGAAGATCTGGCCTGGTAAGAGTGAGATACTGTAATTTACCGGCTAAGCTGCGGAAGTAGGTTGGATTGTCAAAAAGCTCTGTTTGATGTGGAGCTCTCTCAGGTTGCAGGGGCAATGGTGTTGCAACAGGAGAGCAATGTGACATTGCAGCTGTGGCAAGCAAATCCTCAGCATATTTCTGTTGAGAAAGAAACAGCCCCTTTGAATGGAATTGAGCTTGGATTCCTAGAAAGTAGCTCAGTCTCCCCAAATCTTTCATTTTGAACTGTTGGTTGAGATCATGAAGAAGATCAGAGAGGAGCTTGGAGTTGTTGCCTGTGATTACCATGTCATCAACATAAAGGAGAAGCATGATCACATCTCTGTTCTTCACACAAATAAAAAGAGACGGGTCAGACATACTACATATGAAGCCAAAACTCAGCAAAAATTTGCTAAATTTATCAAACCAAGCCCTTGGGGACTGCTTGAGTCCATAGAGAGATTTGTGGAGCAAGCACACATGATTAGGATGATCTTTATCCACGAATCCTGCTGGTTGTTTCATATAGACTGTTTCAATCAAATCTCCATGGAGGAAGGCGTTTTTGACGTCCATTTGTTTTAGTTCCCATTCCATGACTGTTGCAAGATGAAGAACAGCCCTGACAGTTGCAGATCTGACAACAGGAGAGTATGTTTCAAGATAATCAATACCCTCTTCTTGCTTGAATCCCTGAGCAACAAGTCTTGCTTTATACTTGTCTAGAGATCCATCAGCATGTAGTTTTACTCTGAACACCCATTTGGAGCCTAGCACATGCATCTTTGATGTAAGTGGAACAAGTGACCAGGTTTGCGTTTCAGAACAATTTCCCATTTCTTCTACCATAGCAGCAGTCCACTTTGGATCTTTTAAAGCTTCAGTGACTGTAGTAGGCATAGGATGTGAAACTTTATGTGTAAGGAGAGCATACCTTGGATTTGGCTTTACAATTCCTTTCTTCAGCCTAGTTGTCATAGGATGAATAGATTCTGTTGTTGAAGGCAAGATGCTTGAAGATACTGAATTTTCAGGTCTAAGAGATAATGATGGAGCGCTGTTGCCAATAGGTGAAGATTCAGGAACTGCATCATTTTCTTGGGAGGTAATAATTTGTATAGGTGTAATACATAGTGGCTCATTTGATGTGTTGTTGCTTGTCTCCCCCTCTATATTTAGAACTGTGAGCTGGTCTTGTTGTTGTTGATCAATGTTGATTGCAGGAACACTGGAGCTGGTGGTTTCTGCAGCCATTTTTTCTTGTTCTGAAGCAGACTGCATATTTGAGAAGCCTTTTACCCATGCATCAAGCAAAGGCGTAAGAGAAGACTGTTGCGAGCCAACATAAGTATCACTGAAGGGAAAAGAGCTCTCATCAAAAATAACATGCCTACTCAAATACACACGGCCAGTTGGTGGATAGTAGCAGCGATACCCTTTGTATTTCTCAGTGTATCCAAGAAAGATACACTTAAGAGACCGCGGATCAAACTTATTGTGTGCATAAGGTCGGAGAGTGGGAAAGCATGCACAGCCGAATGTTCTTAGAGCAGAGTAGTTTGGTGTCTTACCAAATAGAGCTTCATATGGAGTTGTAGAACTATCCAGCACTGTTGTAGGTAGCAAGTTACTGAGAAAGTTAGCTGTAAAGAAGGCTTCAACCCAGAATTTATGTGGTGCTTTACTCTGGAACAGTAGTGTAAGCCCTCTTTCAGTGAGTTGTCTGTGCTTCCTTTCTGCCAATCCATTCTGTTGTGGTGTGTGAGGACAAGAAACATAATGTTGTATACCAGATTCTTGAAGATGTTTTAAGAACCTGTTACTTATGAATTCACCTCCTCCATCACTCTGAAACGTTCCTATTTTTGTTTGTAAGAGATTCTCAACAAAAGTCTGAAACTTGATGAATGTTGAACAAAAATCTGACTTGTGCTTTAGAGGATAGAACCAACAATATCTTGATAGATTGTCAATGAAGATTACATAGTAGTGAAATCCTTGAATAGACGAAACAGGAGCTGGACCCCAGAGATCACAATGAACTCTCTCTAGAGGTCTTGATGCAACAAAATCTGAAGAAATAAATGGCAACCTCGAACTCTTCCCAAGCTGACATGATTCACACATCTTGCTGGTACTTTTATTGACTTGGATCACCTTATTCTTGACTAAAAACTGAAGAACTTGGGAGTTTGGATGTCCCAATCTCATATGCCATACTTCATCACTTGCTTTGACTTGCCTAGTAGAGTAGAACATTTGAAACTTGGGATTCTCCAATTTGTAAAGACCATCACTTGTGCTGCTTCCCTTTGTCAGAACCTTGTGAGTTACTTTGTCCTTTACAAGAACACCATCAGCATCAAACGTGAAGGAACAAGGATAGTCCTTAGTCAATTTTGACACTGATAAAAGAGACTTAGCTATTTCAGGACAGACCAAAACATCTTTTAAAGGGAGATTACCTGAAGTGGAAGGGAGGCTTGCTGAGCCAATATGAGTAATAGGCAAGAAATTCCCATCACTAGCCATTACTGTATCATTACCAAAGTAGGGTTGCATTTGTTGCAAGCGTGAGCTGTTGTTTGTGATGTGTGCTGTAGCAGCAGAGTCGGGAACCCAACCATTGTCATCTGTAACATCAGTGATGTGGAGAGCTGAGAACGCAGCAGCTGCAGTCTCTGACTGTTGGTAGGAGTCATCAAACCGATGCCAACACTGAAGCGCAGGATGACCTCTTTTACCACAGATTTGACACACGGGTTTCTCTCCTGTTGAGACTGAAGAACTGGAAGAAGAGAACTGCTGTTGGAATCCACGACCACGGGTTGAGAAGTTTCCTTTTCCCCTGTTTCTTCCTCCACGACCTCTGTTTGAAGATCTGAAAGTGTTGAACGCCAGATGCGGTGAAACATCACTTGCATTGTAACTCTGAAGCCTATCATCGAACCCTTTTAAGCGATAGACCACATCTTCATAAGATGGACCAGGAAAAGCATCAAGAGAGCTTTCAAGAGAAGTGATTAGAGGTTCATACTCTCGTGTTAAACCATGAACCATAGCAAAGACTTTCATTTTCTCAGCAACAGGGCTTCCAACAGAGGCTAGTTGATCACAAATGTTTTTGAGATACCGTAAATACTCCTCCATGGTTTTCCCTTCCTTTGATAGACCATGGAGTCGACGTTGCAGCTCAAAAATCCGAGAAGAAGAGATACGATTGAAATGTTTTGCGAGATTTGTCCATACCTCATAAGATGTTTTAGAACCAACAACCACACTGAGAATGTCTTCAGACAGCGATCCGAGTAACCATGCCATAACCACTTGATCGAGACGACACCAAGCTTCATACTCGGAGTTTTGGACAGCTTCAGTGACTCCGGTGGCTTGTGGTCCAGGAACAATGCTGACAGGAGCTGTGATTGTGCCATTGACAAACCCCAGAAGACCTTGCCCAGAGAGAAAAGATTCGAACTGAGATTTCCAAAGGATATAGTTGCGTTCGGTGAGTTTCACCGTAACACAGTTGGAGATTTTTAGAGACGGAAGATCATAGAGCTCCATGGATTTGTCCATGGCTCTGATACCATGAAAGAAGGAACACAAAATCGAAAGTTTGTTGTTTTTATTATCTTTTTGCTGTGTTAATGAGATTACAAGCATGAGTCTTTATTTATACAACTTTCGGATTTAACCTAGAGTATCCTTGACTCTCTTAGCTGTCTGTTGACTGTCACGTGGCGTCACTCTCGTCACACGATCCAAGAACCTCAAAACGATTCCTCGTCGTTACGTCCGTACCACCTGAGGATAAGGATGGCTCGACGCCAACTCTGTTTTTGTCTCTTGTTGCAGGTTGCCGTTGAGGAGGTTTCTCTGCTTTTGCATTGTGTTGGACTTGGGCCTGTTTCGGATTGGGCCTGCTATCAGTCTTTGGGCCTGTGTCATTGATATCTACAGTACTCGAAGATACGCTGTAATATCGCAGTCGAGTATATATGGTCCCAACCACCTACAATTCAGTGGAAAAAGACAGAATGCATTGGAATCAAATCGGATTGGAATCTCTCTCACTCACTCTTTTCCAAATGTGTCGAGCCTAACTTTCCTACGAACCTCACGCGTACATCCTTACGCTAAACAACAAAACTCTCAATACCACCAAGTCTAATCAAAATTCTACGAAGAAACATATGTATTTAGTTCAACGATCGATCTTGCTATATATTCATTAATATTGATTATTTCGTTTGTACTCCTCGTCAATACGATAATTTACACGTCAGTTTATTATATTTTGTAGTTACTGTGTGTGTGTTTTTTACTTCCGTTACTAAACAAAAATATCCAAGTCAGCGGTTAGTCGATTACGGTAGTCACATATCCATCAAAATCAAGTTAATCTCGACATAAACTATTTAGCTATTAATGAAAAGCCGGATCGGATCATCTAAGGTTTTAGGCACGAAGTGAAAGAACATTGAAGTAACACGACTTGCATGGCCTGCCCTTGCATAAGGTAGGGAAAGCAAGAGCATTATTAGGCCTCCCAATGTTAATGTTTTTCAAGGGCATCATCGTTTAATTAATAGTTAAATACTCTGATATTGTCCACTTTCATTAATTATTATCAATAACAAGAGTGACCAGTGTAAAAAAAAGAAAAAAGAAGGAGGAGTGACCAGTGACCAGTGAAAATCACATGATGATGAGCTTCATTTTTCAACTCATTTGGACTTGAGCTCATCATCATGTGATTTTCTCAATTTTTTAACTAGATTCCAAATATATTTTTCTCAAAACAATTTTACAGGTTTAATCTAATATTCTGATGCTCGTTATGTCATAAGTTATGATGATAGTAATTATAAAAAATAAGTGGTGTTAGTGCAAATACCGTCACTCTCTCACTATATATCATGCATGTTTGTTGATAAAATTTATTACTTTGATTTCAGATTATATAAAAGAAATACATTCTAAGAAATAATACTTTAAACAAAAAAGTAATTCTAAGAAAGACATTCGTTTTGGATATACGTATTTTTAAATTTAATTTTTGGTCGGCCACGGATTTTTTAAGTTCGTCGAGTAATAAGAGAATTCAATTTGTTTTTCTCCAATGCCCCTAAACATTTCAATCATTCGATAGGTTTTTTGTTGCTGGCATCACTTTTCTCTATAAACTCAAAACTTTGTCTCACACACACTCTCTCTCTCTCTCTCTCTCTCCGGCTTCTGCAACTCCACCTGAAAACAAAACATGAACTGGATCGTCGTCTCCAATCATCTCTAGTGCTTCTCACTTAGACTCTCGGTACGAAGACACGTGTCTTCTCAAACCAAGAAGAAGCTATGTTCAAGCCCTTTGGTTCCGCTGGTAAAATTGATAATCTTGCACCTGAAAATTTTCTACTTTTCTGTATGAATTGATCATGTTATTAATTCAATGTTTTCTTCGTTTTACCTGATTGTGTTTGCTTTGATATGAGCAGCAGAAACGAGTTTCCATCTCCTGAGAACGCAATGGTTGCAACTAGAAAACTCGCTTTGCCTGAAGGAACGTATAAGCATCGCTACGCAAGTGGCTTTCCTCGCTTTCTTTGTTATTCATTTGGCACTTAAATGGTTTGGTGTAGTGAGAAACAGAGGATCTAACGATGTAGAAGAAGACTTGAAGAAGCAGAGCATAACTGTGAAGCAGAGCTTCTCTTATAACATATCTCTTCTCTGCTCTGTTTCTATCTTAGGGACTCATTGCTTTATCTTGCTTTTGCTGTTTCGAGACAGCGTGGTCTCACGGTGTGATTCCTCTGTTTCGGTCTTCTCCGCTGAGATTTCGCAGGCTTTCTCGTGGTTGATTGTTTCTGTTGTTGTGGTGAAGATCAGAGAAAGGAGGCTTGTTAAGTTTCCTTGGATGTTAAGGTCATGGTGGCTCTGTAGTTTCATCTTATCCTTTGCCTTTGAGGCTCAATTCATAACCGCGAAACACGAGCCTCTCGGGTTTCAGGATTATGCTGACTTGATTGGTCTTCTTGCATCATTGTTCTTGATAGCTGTTTCAATCAGAGGGAACACCGGTTTTCGCCTTCTTGAATCCGGCGGAATCACAGAGCCACTACTACTTGATGGCCAAACAGAGCAGAACAAGAAAGATGTTTCTTCCACTTCTCCATATGGGAACGCTACTCTCTTCCAACGCATCACTTTCTCATGGATCAACCCTTTATTCTCCCTCGGATACAAGAGACCTCTCCAAAAAGACGATGTACCAGATATCGATGTGAAAGATTCTGCTCGATTTTGCTCTTATGCCTTTGACCAGAAACTGAAAATCACCAAAGAAAAAGAAGGACCTGGAAATGCTTTCTTCTATAACTCGGTTCTTCGCTATGTCTGGAGGAAAGCCGCGATCAACGCGGTATTTGCAGTTGTAAACGCGAGCACAGCTTACATCGGACCATATCTCATCAATGACTTTGTAGAGTTTCTAGGTGAGAAACAATCGCAGAGCTTAAACCATGGTTACCTTCTTGCACTCGGGTTTCTAAGTGCGAAAATCGTCGAGACAGTTACTCAAAGACAATGGATCTTTGGAGCTCGTCAGCTAGGACTACGCCTTCGAGCAGCTTTGATATCGCATATATACCAAAAAGGTTTAGTTTTATCAAGTCAATCACGGCAAAGCCACACGAGCGGAGAGATCATCAACTACATGAGTGTAGATGTTCAGAGAATCACGGACTTCATTTGGTATGTAAACAATATATGGATGTTACCTATACAGATTTTCTCGGCGATTTATATCTTGCAAAAACATCTGGGACTTGGAGCTTTAGCTGCATTGGTCACAACTTTAATGGTGATGGCTTGCAATTACCCCCTGACAAGGCTTCAGAGAAACTACCAATCAGATATCATGAATGCCAAAGATGATAGAATGAAAGCAACGTCAGAGATTCTCAAAAACATGAAGATTCTGAAGCTTCAAGCATGGGATAACCAATTTCTCAACAAGGTTAAAACATTAAGAAAGAAAGAGTATGATTGTTTATGGAAGTCTTTGAGGTTACAAGCTTTCACAACTTTCATCCTTTGGGGAGCTCCTTCACTGATCTCTGTGGTGACTTTTGTTACGTGTATGTTAATGGGAGTGAAGCTAACAGCTGGAGCAGTCTTATCTGCTCTTGCAACGTTTCAAATGTTACAAAGTCCGATTTTCGGTTTACCTGATCTCCTCTCAGCGCTTGTCCAGAGCAAGGTTTCTGCAGATAGAATAGCTTCTTACCTTCAACAAAGCGAGACTCAGAAAGATGCAGTTGAGTATTGCTCAAAGGATCATACAGAATTAAGTGTTGAAATAGAAAATGGAGCATTCAGTTGGGGACCTGAGCCAAGCAGACCGACTCTTGATGAGATAGAACTGAAAGTAAAAAGAGGAATGAAAGTGGCGATTTGCGGAGCTGTAGGATCAGGAAAATCAAGCTTACTCTCATCAATCTTAGGGGAGATTCAGAAGCTGAAGGGAACAGTTAGAGTCAGTGGTAAACAAGCTTATGTTCCTCAATCGCCATGGATACTAAGCGGGACTATAAGAGATAACATTTTGTTTGGAAGCATCTATGAAAGCGAGAAGTATGAGAGAACTGTTAAAGCATGTGCTTTGATAAAGGACTTTGAGCTTTTCTCTAATGGAGACCTGACAGAGATTGGAGAAAGAGGGATAAACATGAGTGGAGGTCAGAAGCAAAGGATACAGATTGCTAGAGCGGTTTATCAGAATGCTGATATATATCTTCTCGATGATCCTTTTAGCGCCGTTGACGCTCATACCGGAAGAGAACTCTTTGAAGTATAATAATGTTCATGGAAATTATTAATCTTTAAACCTTGCTCTCCTAAAACTCCACAATTGACAAAGTTCTTTTTTTTTTTACTGGTTTTTCAGGAATGCTTAATGGGGATACTGAAAGACAAAACTGTACTTTACGTTACACATCAAGTCGAGTTTCTTCCAGCAGCAGATCTAATCCTGGTAAGAGGAAGAGCCGTTGATAATAAGCAAATGCAAACGAAGCTGTTAGTTTTTCCATTAACATTAGTGTGTGTCTATACTAGGTGATGCAAAACGGAAGAGTGATGCAAGCAGGCAAATTCGAAGAGCTTCTAAAGCAGAACATTGGTTTTGAAGTTCTTGTAGGAGCTCACAACGAAGCGCTAGACTCAATCCTATCAATTGAAAAGTCAAGCAGAAACTTCAAAGAGGAATCAAAAGATGACACAGCATCAATTGCAGAGAGTCTCCAGACACAGTGTGACTCAGAGCATAACATTTCAACAGAGAATAAAAAGAAAGAAGCAAAGCTAGTGCAAGATGAAGAAACAGAGAAAGGAGTAATTGGCAAAGAAGTTTACTTGGCATATTTAACAACGGTGAAAGGCGGATTGCTTGTGCCACTCATAATATTGGCTCAGTCTTGCTTCCAAATGCTACAGATTGCTAGCAATTACTGGATGGCATGGACTGCTCCTCCAACTGCTGAATCCATACCAAAGTTAGGAATGGATCGGATTTTACTTGTTTACGCACTTCTTGCTGCAGGAAGTTCACTTTGTGTTTTAGCACGGACTGTTCTAGTCGCGATAGGTGGACTTTTAACAGCAGAGACGTTCTTCTCAAGGATGCTCTGCAGCATTTTCAGAGCTCCCATGTCATTTTTCGATTCAACTCCAACAGGAAGAATCTTGAACAGGGTGAAGTACCACAATCAATCCAACAAAAGACATGCTTTTTTACTTTTGTATAATATAAGCAAGACTGAAAATACCTTGGTTTTTCATGTTTTATAATAGGCATCCACAGATCAAAGTGTCCTGGATTTGGAAATGGCTGTCAAACTAGGTTGGTGTGCGTTTTCGATCATTCAGATTGTTGGAACCATCTTCGTCATGTCGCAAGTTGCTTGGCAAGTTTGTATCATCTTCATTCCAGTAGCAGTAGCCTGCGTGTTTTACCAGGTAAGAGAGAAAACAAATCCAATTTCTTGACAATGATACAACAAATCTTGCTTACTTTTTTTTTTTCTTGTATTTTCTTCAGAGATATTACACACCAACAGCAAGAGAACTGTCGCGCATGTCAGGAGTAGAAAGAGCTCCAATCCTCCACCATTTTGCTGAATCGCTTGCTGGTGCAACAACAATACGCGCTTTTGATCAACGAGATCGCTTCATTAGCTCGAACCTTATTCTAATTGATAACCATTCAAGGCCTTGGTTCCATGTTGCATCAGCAATGGAGTGGCTTTCCTTCAGATTGAATTTACTGTCTCATTTTGTCTTTGCTTTTTCCTTGGTGTTACTTGTGACTCTCCCTGAAGGTGTCATCAATCCAAGTAAGTTTCATACATCATAAATCAGAACATACATTGTCTAATGGGATCAGAACTCAAACTTCATTTTCACTTTTCCTTACAGGTATTGCTGGTCTTGGGGTCACATATGGCTTAAGTCTGAATGTTTTACAAGCCACAGTGATATGGAACATATGCAATGCAGAAAACAAGATGATTTCCGTAGAAAGAATTCTTCAGTACTCCAAAATCCCCAGTGAAGCACCTCTAGTAATTGATGATCACAGACCTCTTGATAACTGGCCAAATTCAGGATCAATCGTCTTCAAAGACCTACAGGTAAACAACAAACTAGATGTCACAACATTATTCTTGAGCATATGATTGTGAAACTCAGAGTCAAGTTCACAGAAACAGATGTAATCAAAGATTCTTAATCCTGAGATGTCTTTGTTCCAGGTCCGTTATGCAGAAAATTTCCCAGCTGTCTTGAAGAACATCAACTGTGAGTTTCCAGGAGGAAAAAAGATTGGAGTTGTAGGAAGAACAGGAAGCGGCAAATCAACTTTAATTCAGGCATTGTTTAGGATTGTAGAGCCAAGTCAAGGAACCATAGTTATTGATAATGTGGATATAACCAAGATAGGTCTACATGACCTGAGATCAAGGCTTGGGATTATTCCTCAAGATCCAGCACTATTTGATGGAACAATCAGATTGAATCTAGACCCTCTTGCTCAGTACACTGATCGCGAAATATGGGAGGTATGAAACCTGCAAAATTTTCTCTGTAGTTCTTCTCTGATTTACTGTGACAAATATTCTAATACAATGTGATACTTAGGCTCTTGATAAATGCCAATTGGGAGATGTTATTCGTGCAAAGGATGAGAAGCTGGATGCTACAGGTCAGTTTTCTGAAACCATTATGAGGAGTTTTTTTTTTTTTTTTGATTTAATGTCTTTTGGACAATGAAAACTAAGATTCTTGAATCTATGTAACAGTGGTTGAAAATGGAGAAAATTGGAGCGTAGGGCAAAGACAGTTAGTTTGTCTTGGGAGGGTGTTGTTGAAGAAAAGCAATATTCTGGTGCTAGATGAAGCTACTGCTTCAGTTGATTCTGCAACTGATGGTGTGATACAAAAGATCATCAATCAAGAGTTTAAAGATCGAACAGTGGTGACTATTGCACACAGAATCCACACAGTGATCGAGAGTGATCTTGTTCTGGTTCTGAGTGATGGTAAGAACACTATACATGTTTTTTCACACAGAAAATTATGAGGTCTAAATCACTTTTCTATGAGCAGGACGAATCGCGGAGTTTGACTCACCAGCAAAACTGCTACAGAGAGAGGATTCTTTCTTCTCCAAACTCATTAAAGAGTATTCGCTGAGATCTAATCACTTTACCGGCTCAAATGATCTTCTCAGCTGAGTATCACTAAAAGATGGATGATCTTTTTTAGAGAAAAAAAGATCAATTCAACAGTTAAGCTAAAGTTGAAAGTCTAACTAGCTATTTAGTACATAAGTTGAACATGCATAGACATGGAGAGAACACCATGGTTAGAAGCATGGCGCATCGAAGAAAATTCAGTTCAACATTTTTTCAGTATCTTTTATGTTTATTTAAATCACAAACGTGCTCGTGGTTTGGGTTCTTTACTGAGTTCTCAGTGTGTTCTTGGAGACTTTTCATGTAGCCAGTGGAATAAAAGCAGGAAAATATCTTCTGTATTAAGATAAAGTTTTAAGGAAAGTTTCGATATTGCAACAATGTGGTTATCATGTAAAGATAGCATGGAAAATTCGATTCTTTTGCAAAAGTTTCACAAATAAAGAGTGTGAAACATTTCATATACAGTAGACAAGACCATGTTGGTGTTCTAACTATAAAGATCGACTCGAGTTGTTCGAAGGTTGTTCTACAATATTCCAGAGGTGTTGAGTTTCTTACGATGTATCTCCATAAGGAAGCAATGCAGCAGCCACGTACACAATCCTGCTTTCCTCATTCAGTATGTTGTAAGTTGATGCAGCATGCATTTCTCTGGATAGAAGAGAGCGTTAATCAATAAGAACAGACCAAAGACTTGAATAGAACAAATTAAGCAAGAGGATCTAGTCAAACCTATCATTAGTTTTATCGACCAATTCTGGATAAGTAAGCTGAAGAGAAGAGAGATATCCGCGGAGAAGTAACGAGGGCTCCATGACATTAGCAAATTCCCAACACAGAGCAAGCTTCCTTGGTATTTAACACCATTCACAGTGAAACTCGTCTCATCAAACCTGCAAAAAGCACCACTAATCCAAATTCCATTGCTGCATAGTCAAATTAAAAGCATGAATGATTTACTCCTGAAATCGGAGCTGATAAGCTCTTCTCAGAGATGGTCAGACACGACTACGCTGCTTAGGAATTTTTGTCTCACTGCCCATCTTCACAAGTCTAAAGAGAAACTCTTGAACCAAACCGGTTTATTGGTGCCTAACCAATTATCCAAATCGGTTTGCACTCACTAACTAAATAGATTGGTTATTCCGTTTCGGTTAGGGTTTTTTTTTTTGTTTACCAACATAAAACATAAAACCGAATGTACAATAGATTGGTTTGATACAAATTCTTAGGAATGTAAAACCGTCGTTTTAACTAAATTAAAATTCATTTCATAATTTTAATCGATTTTTAATTATTCTTTTTGGTTTGGTTTATCCAAATTGATGACCTTGTAAAAAAAAAAAAAAAAAAAACCAAATTGATGACCTCAAATCGTATATTATAGAGTTTCTATGAGTTAACAAATTAGATACAATCTTGTCTTGACAGATAAAAAAACAAAAACAAATTAAAAGCAATCAAATGTTTAAGGAACAAAATGAGGCGTGATTGATCGAGAGCTATTCACCGAGAGAGGCATGTACAAACAGTAGATTGGTCAAAAAAATCAGCAGGCAATCTTATGAATTTTCATTTTAAAAAAATGAATATTTCAATTACAAAAACGCAAAAAGCCAAACGTAAAATGAGTTTTTATTTTTTTTCTATGTACATCTACACTGCAAATTAAAGAAGAAAAACAAAAAACAAACTGTCTAAAACACGACCAAGTTGATTTTGGCCACGTTGGAGTCCGCATCTTAGAACGAGATAGAGAGACATTTAACCACGACTCAGAGACCAGTCTGCTTCGTGAATTGGAGCGACAACGAGTTTGGCTCTAATTTACAGAAGACAACAATAATCTCCTGAAAAATAAAACTAGTAAGTTTATATAATTCGAACATTAAATGGAATAAAAATAATAATCTAAGGTTAATTATAGTAGTTTTATCTTACCTCGGACTGGTTGTTACGTTTTTGACTTTGCCCCTATGTTTTATGCCAGCGATAAGTGTTGCTGACGAAAAAAGAAAAAGAAGCTAGCTAGTACAAGTTTGATCTCTGACTATTGCTTGTGTCGTCGTTTTTGGCTGCTAAAATGTTTAAGAAAGCCACAATTAGACACATGTCAGATAGGGTTCCAGCATTCCGTGGTGATTTGTGCTGACGTCAGATAATTAAATAAGATAATTAGCATAAGAAAATGAAAAATCTACAAAATCACAAAGCCAAAAGAAAATATGATCCATTCATTCATCTTCCTTAAGAAAATGTTCATATACAACACGAGCTAAATTATAAATAACTACATATTGAGTATTGGCAAAAAAAAAAATAACTACATATTGAGCCATAAGGAATTCAAAAACATAAGAGAGATTTAAAATTAATAAAATGACGATGGGTTCTCTATTCCTTGCAAAACACCAAAATGATTACGAGGAAAATCAAACGAGCAACGATTCTTCTCCTCCTCTATCCTCGACTGGTTCGTTGCCATGAAAGATACAAAGAAACCCGCCGATTCTTCGAAACACTTTTGTTCGTATAAAGTCTTATTCCCCTCGGCACGTGACTTCTCATTCACCTCCTCTTCGTTAGTCACTCCGACCGATCTCTTAAGGAACCGCTTAAACCATTTGACCGAATCTTTTGGATAACGTTTGAGACCATTGACAAAGTCAACATAGTACAGACCAAATCTAGCAGTGTATCCATGTTCCCATTCAAAATTGTCCATCAATGACCATGCGTAGTATCCTTTCACGTCACACCCATCTTCCCTGTAAACATTATATAATCTATCTATCAGTTAAAAAAAAATCAACTGAAATTGAAACTTACACTAAATATTGTCAGAAAGATCAAAGACTAAACCAGAAAAAGATCAAGAACTAACACTATGGCTTTGTGAAGTTCTTCGAAATGTGTCTTATGGTATTCAATCCTAAATGTGTCTTTAACAATCTCTTCTCTTGGTTTTGTACCGTCGTCGTTGTCATTAATTCCTGTAATTCAGTAATCAACGTATTTTATAAATATATAGACGCACAAAAAAAAAACGTTTTCAAAGCGATTAAGTTTGAAGTCAGTGCTAAGAGGGTAGAGTTAAAGAGATTTACGTACTAAAAAGTAAAAATTTCGTAGTTAATAAATACAAAAAAAAGTTTTCTGAATTTCTAGTTAACAAAAAAGGTTTCTTACCATTTTCTTTGATGTAGACTGGCATGTTATTGTATTTGTCTTTTATATAGTTTAGAACTTTCCGTAAGCCTTCCGGGTGTGAAAATAAGAAGCCCCTTTCTTCCTGAGGATATATAATACAAAATTTAAAATATCTTAGAATGTCGCATTAGAAATTGATAGTTATGAAAAATAAGTGAATACGTACCCCAGGTCCGATGATGTGACCACTGTGATTAGTCACTGTTTCAAAATTTAATTTATAAACCTTGGTTAGTTTTACTATCTCAGCTTAATTAAAATTCGTATGGATCAATCTTTAGTAATTAGCATTACTTACGTTTCCATTCCACATGGTGGTCAGTCTTGAACCGAGGTTTTTCAGGGTCTATGTGATGAAGATGAGCAGCGAAGCGCGCCGTATAGTAATTTATGCCGACAAAATCTGATGAATTTTTTAACATCTTTGACTCTTCTGCAGTAAATGAAGGTAATTTATTTCCCGCATACTTTTTTACAACCTCTGGATAATCTCCGTGAATGACCGGATCAAGATGCCTATACACATATAGAATAAAAATTAAGATTACAAATAGATATAGATGATGAATAGAAGCAAAACCATTAGATTGTTTTTCTTAGATAACTTACCATCCAATTTCAAAGGCAATGGCTCGTTCAGCTGCTTCTTTATCGTCAGTTGAGTCTGAATGGTAAGGCTCGAACCATCTTGGTGACAGTACTATCCCAATTTGGCCATCCTGCGAAGTTTTTTTGCATTTTCGGAATTCTTCTACTGCAGCGGCATGGGCAAGAAGAGTGTGGTGTGAAACAATGTAAGGCTCAGTACTCGAATCGCCAGCTTGACACTTTTCATTTACCCATTTCGAGCATCTTCCAGCCGCCTTGTTACCTTGATCATAACCCGCAACAGTCATAATGTAAGGTTCGTTGATAGTTGTCCACATCTTAACTTTATCTCCAAACTCTTCAAAACAAATTCTTGCAAAGTCTCGAAAATCATCTCTATTTTAAAAAAAAAACAAAAATTAATAACAGTATATTATTGATACAATAACAATACTTTTTGTGTTTGAAATAGTATATATGTGTTAATTAGGCTTACACGATTTTAGGGCTTAGAAAGCCACCATATTCGTCCTCCAAAGATTGTGGGTGGTCCCAATGATAGAGCGTCATCGAAGGTTGTATGTCTGCATGTTTAGTTTTATGTGAGTTATAACCACACCTTTAATTTAATCAGAGAACTTTAACTTAACTAGCTAGTGAATTAATAATCTTACCATTAGCAAGAAGTTCGTCTATGAGATCCTTGTAGAATTTTACACCTTCTTTGTTTACTCCATCCTTTAGCTTTCCACCTATAGATAATTAAAAATTCACCACATAAATAATTCGTATATATAAGTGTAATTATAAGAATAGAAAAGAACAACAAAAAGTGAGTAAAACTTACTGGGAATTAATCGGGACCACGAGATTGAGAATCGGAAAGCGTCCATGTTTAGTTCCTTCATCAATTTTATATCATCCTGTTTGTTTTTATCGTATTAAAAAAATTAATTAACCAAAAGATAAATAAATATATAAATCTTGATAACCAAAACAAAAATGACATCTATATATAAATCCAAGACTCCAGGTTCAGTGTACCAACTTTTCAAGAAAGCAAATTGACTTATTTCGAAAGTTGTTTTCAATTTGATGTTTATTTAGAGATAACCTGATTTTTGATATAACTCATTTAAGAAGAAAATTTGATTTTTTTTTTTTTTGTTTTAAATTATAAGATTAATTAATTATACATGTATGATCAAGTAAATAGCTTGATTATAGATATTAGATAGTACCTTGTAACGATGATAAAAATCAATTGCTACATCAGCATTATGCATTTTGGTCCTTTCTGCAGTCAAAGATTTTATAAAATAATCACGTTAATTAGTCACAACTCACAAATATGGTCATGTTGATATAGAAGTGTCAATCAAATCGGTCCGTAGATTTTTGCTATCGGACAGACCTGGATACGTGCGGCTGAAGTGATCCCATATAGTTGGAGACTTGCCACCTTCATTTGTTGCACCTTCGTACTGCATACATATATATATATTTTTAAAACATGATTTTATCGCAAGGCTAATTTAGAATGACAAAACATGAACATTTGATAACAAAAGACTGACATTAATATGAAATAAGGAATCTAATTTGGAACGAAAGCAACTTAACTATAAAATTCGTTATTGTATTTGTTTGTTAAAAATAAAGAATGATTGTCCCAATAATGTAATTTGTAAAGCAGATATTCTTTGTCCCCTAATTAAAACATTACAGTTTTGTTAGGATGATGCAAGCAACTTTATATCTCTCCATACTATATGACAAGAAGAGACCCTTTGAGAAAGAAAAACACAGAACAGAAAACAGAA